TTTAGAAATAGTATTCCTTTTTATCTGCCATATGGCAATTCCAACAACCTGATAAGGTTTGTTAAGTTATTTTTTGTTTATAAAAACGACAAAAAATGTCTACGACAATGAACATCATTGTTTAGTTAGAATATTCTCATTTAGTTTTCGGTTTTACTAGTAGAAAGGTACCACGTCAACAATCTCTAAAATGCTCAATTCTTGTCCATGGGAAGAAACAATTTAAGCGATTTTTATTTACGGCGCGACGCGTAACTGTCACGAGACCGAAAGAATTATAAATGAACGTTTTCCGAATCGTCCTATCTGTAGACAATATTTGAGGGAACTTGTATCTAAATTCACAACTACCGGTAGTGTACATAACAAAAAGCCCCCAGGTCATCCGTCCATTCCGGAAGAACAGCACGTGCAAATAATTGGTGAGATGGTGATAAATGCTGAACAGTCTACTTATTCCGTCGCGAATGTGTGTGAGGTGTCTCCTTCTAATGTGTCGAGACTTTTAAAGAGGAATAGTTATCATCCATACAAAATTAAAATGGTACACCAATTAACTGAAGAACAGAGAATTAATTCTGCAAAATCATGACGGAAACCATTGCAAGGCATCTTACCTATCTCCACAATATTTGTTTTAGTGACGAATGTACATTTTTTTAAACGGCAATATTCACAGACAAAATTGCCGTTATTGGAGTGACACCAACTCTCACGTTTTTCGGGAAACACATACCATGTACGAAACTGAACCTGCTTCAATATTGGATATACGGCAGAGAATTATAAATATTTATAGAGATATTGACGTTACTGTGTTCGAAAATGTTCGGCGTGAGATATGGGATAGGCTGTTCATATGTCAAGAAGATCAAGGCAACCATTTTGAACATCTTCTGAACTGACCTCAAGCTTATTACCACCTCATATTATGTAGTTGAATGTCAATGTATTCAAGTAATTATTAAAAGTTCCGTCATTTTGTAGTAGTTGAAGATATCGCCTTTATATTCTAGGGTTGTGAAGCATTTGTCAGGAACTTCAAAAAGATGTGTCACAAGACCCCCTTTCCATTTAATCATTTTCCCAGATGGCGCCCAGTCGCCATATTGAAAATTTCATCTGTCAATTTCACTTCAAAATAAAGTATTCCTGTAATAATTTCATCATCCCAAATTTTAATTTTTGAGTTGAGACGTTCAAAAAATAAAAAGGGGGACATGAACGAAAAGCACTCTATACAAAATACTGAGCTACAAATATAAATAAATTGGATTCTTTTTTTGCAATGCACATTTCAGAATATCTGTCAAATTCTTATATAAATTGATACAATTGTCATTTTAGGTATTTAATATAGATAAACTTTGTTTTTCACATTAAGTAATTTGGATGAATCATTCAAAAGTTATCACGATAAGGTTAACCTGACGCAACGCAGTAAGCCATTACGCGTCGCGTCTACAGTAAGACGACGGGATAGAGGGGCGGTCTAAGCAATGAAGTGCCATCGCCGAGAACGCGGGCAGACGTCTTTGACGGTTGTGTTAGTTTTGCTAATTTCTTTATAGGTAACATAAATCGATTCTAGAAGCTATATATTACTTAGTGCAGTTGGCACATTTTTTCAGTTTCTGTATTTTTAAAATGAAAGTATAAATTATCAGCTGTTGCCCGCTCTTATATCAACGCACAGCCGAAGCTACCGAACCTAGAATCTTGAAATATGCAGGTAGGTTCTTTGTATAGCGTAAATAAGCATCAAGAAAGGGAATCATGAATTTCCACCCCCAAAGGGGAAAATAGGGGTTCAAAAATTGTAGTGAATTTCGTCAGTTTGAAATGGGAAACGTGAAGTTTTGGGTAAAAATATACTATAACTATTTGTTTAAAGTGGTCTGTCACTAAACTTGATGTGACGAAGCCGTGGGCAACAACTAGTATATTATGTTTTCTTTCTCAGTTTATAGTCTTTTTTTTTTATGTAATGTAAGCTTCATTACTCCATTCATGATATGAATTAAATCAAATACCATTTGTGGAAGAATTATACAACGCAATGATTGAGATAGTAAATAAATGAAAATAAGGTAATATGAGCTATAACTGAATTTCACTAGTTCGGACTTCCATTGTCTACTATATAAAATGATTTGAAATCCCTTAAACAACTAAAAAAGAATAATTAAAAATGAATAGCTGAAAATAACAATTATATTAAGCAAGATAAACCTGAAATGAAATAATAGTGAAATAAACTACAAGTAAAAAGAACTAGTGAAATTCATCATGAAACATTGTCAATCACATTCAAACAAATGAGCTATAACTGCTTCAATTCTTCATCTTCATCATTTAAAACTAATAAAACTCTTTCTGTGATATTGCCGAATAGAGGATCTCTGAAATTCGATTTCTAATCTCTCAAAATGTATGTTTCTAATGCAAATGAGGTTTCTTCTGGTAATCCCAACATTCGTAAGGGTAGTCGACATTTTCACGACATTGCATTAAGTTGAATAGGACGGCGACCGTTGAATATGATTTCGATTGTGTAGTTGGTGGGAATTCGGTCGAAATGTTGAAGAAAACCAATTGCTACATTGTTGACGTTTCAAAACTTTATTTTTTCATCTTAAGGACTATTCAGGACAGCTTTCCGAAATCAAAAAGGGTGAAGGAAATAAATTCGACATAAAATATAAATACATACACAAATTCACGAAAAACGTTGATACAGACTCGAAGAAACTAACAAACTGTTTGTTAATACATAGTTTTGAAAAAAAATGAAAATTTACCCTTTCTTCAACAGGCTGCGTATTTTTTTCTATTTGGAAATGATTCACATTTCCTGACTACAAAATAATATATCACTTGTGGATTGGGTTATTAGATTTAAAGTTGGTGACTACGAAAAGTGATGTTAAATTAATGTGTGCCACAAAATGTTCATTTTGGAATTGAAAATAAACGCCCTGTATGTTTTCGCGATGATATAAGCAACACGAAATATACGTAATTCCTGAGTAGATTTGCTATACTTTTCCATTCAAAGGTGATACTGTATTTAGAGTTGACTTTTACGTAATGTCTGAAAAAAGCGATAGCGAATTTACGACAACCAGTATTCGTTGTTTGAGACTGATAAAACATGCGTTATCAGTGTTCTCGAGAACGTTGGGTAAACATTCAAGTGAACACTATTTTAACAATTTTTAATAATAAGTACGCTTCATCCAGGATATTTGGCAAATTCTCTTGTTAACCAAGTGTTTATACTCGACCGACGAACCCACTCACACTGACTTACTCTAAGGATGTGGAAATTGTCTTTTGAAGTAATGTCACCTAGTTACTGGTTATCCCGACCTAGATAATTCTAACAGTTATCATTTTGAATATGATTTGTGGAATGTGGTTGGAAATACATGCATACTTGAATAGAACTGGCCGGTACTTGATGAAAATCCATATTTAAAAAACTAATAAATAGAGTTTATTCTATGATTTTCACTATAAGGGTTTTACAAAAACCGCGACACGTGTTTCGCTATACAATAGCTTCTTCAAGCATAACTAAGAGTTACTTCTAAATTACAACTTATATACTATAACCTAGTTCC